ATTTCAAGACTTATGGAATGAAGGTAAACTAGTGCTTTGATGAAAATTTATAAAATTCAATGCTGATGTTAAGAAGGTAGGTCTCAAATCAATGACGTATGCTTCCATTTTAAGACATTAGGAAAAGAAAGACAAGCCCAAATCAAACAGAACAAAAGTAAATACTAAAGATTGGAATGAAAATCAAATAGAAAACAGAAAATTAATAGAGAAAAATCAGTGAAACCTAAATATATTTCCTGAGAGATTAAAATTCTTTTGTGGGCTTCCTTGCTCATAAAGTCTAAAATCTTTAACTTGGATTTATATCTCAGCATTGTTTAACTTCTACATATCTCTCTGATCTATCAACTTTCTCAATTGTCTTTTTCAGATCTTCTTTTGTCCTCTCTACTGCAGATGGCTTTTACATAAGCTATTTTCTTTGTTTTCCCTCTACCCAAGGGTCTCAATGTCTTTTCTTCCCACTCATTTCCATGTAGTTGGTGCCTATTTGTCTTTTAGATTTAGGTTTGAAGTCCTAGTCCAGCACATACCCTGCCCTAACCTGTAAACTCCACTGTGTTTGCTTTTATCAATATTTTATTTTCAGCATTAAACACATGCCTGGCTGGTGAATTCTCAATAATTATCTGTTATATGAGTAAATGCCAATAATGGATCTATTTTCTTAGAATATGACTAATTCAAATACCATTCCTTTTTTGAATCTCATGAATCAATATTCTGAGAATCAAAAGATAGTTATTGTTGGGTTTATGAGGAGAGTATTTAGAGATTTCACCATCTTCTCCCCCCCCCCCCCCCCCCCCACACACACACTCCTCCCTATCATTTAGACTTCACTTACTCATTTCTTTGTGAAGATCTGCTGGAGAGTCAAGTTCTCTTTGTCTTCTGGAAAGTTTTATGATTAAGGCTACTGTTTGGTTTGTTTCATGGTATCACCATGCTAAAAGAAGAAACTTGGTACAACTAGTTTATTTTACTAATAAACTAGTAAAAAAAAAAAAAAAGGTAAATTAGAGGAATTAAAGACTACTCCACAGTAGAATATTCTACATAGAGACTTTACTTTGTAGGTTAAAGAAATATTGGTCCCCAAAAAGTGAAATCATGCCTCAACAATCCAATTTCAAGAACTATGCAAAGAGATGAGAGAACATGCTGATTTAATTTTTGTATCCCAGACTTTGTGTTTACTATGTTAGACTTTTTTATTCCTCAAAAATAATTCTATACAAGGAATTAATACTATTTTACAGACAAACTTTTAGTGATTTACTCAATCTCAGAGTTAACATGCTCTTAAAATTCAAACCTAAGTCTGATGCCAAACCCATTATTTTTCCACTGTTGTCTTCACTAAAAAATGTAAACTATTACAAAATTTTTCCATCTTAAGGATCTGATGTTTAGGTCTTAATGACCTAACAATGACCAGCAATTATTTCAATTTGTCTGTGACACATTCAGTTAAATAGTTTCTCTAAGCTAAAATTGTGATCATTTACTCACTGATAGCACCCTAGTAAGAAAAAAAAGGTAGAGGTAAGATCTTTGTCTAACATCAACTTAATTATGTAAAATGTCAATTTCCTATAACCATCATCTGAAAACAGAACAGTAGGAACTTAACATAAAATGTAGGTATTGAAAAACATTTCCATTAAATGCAAAATTGCTTGTTAACATTTAATAGTTCAGTATCAGCCTATGAAAATTGAAAAAAAATGGTTAACTGAAGAGCAAGGTTGTGTCTTAAGGTTTAAACTTAATTATTACATTCAGCAAGATTACTGTTGATATAGAAATTGGGAGAGGAGGGAAGTCCAGAAGGTAAAGTTCAGCTTGTTGCTGGAGCTATGAATTGAGACATTTTATTCTTTGGCAGGTAGAAAGCTATATGAAAGAATCTCTGATATGATAATTTGTGGGTGTCACTGGGACAGTTGATTATCATTCCTCTGGAAAGATGTCATGAATAGAGGAGAAAACTTAAGGGTCCAGGGAACAGAATAGAGAGGACAGTATAAGATGTATTCTTCCTTTTTCAACTTTCATTATTGCAATTATTTGGGAATTTCAAGGCTCTTTTGATGATACAGAAAAGAAGAGGTAGTCCAGGCATTAGAGAGAGTTATAAAGAATCATCCACGGTAAGAGCTAGAGAGACATTTGTAAAGGTATAGTTTGAGGCCATTGGAGTGGGATGAGGATATAGGTAGATAGGATTTATAATTTGTGTTATTAGTTTAGGGAAAGTCTGGAAGATAAAGGTAGGGAAGAAAATGAGATAAAAAGTGACAAGAATAACATGAGATGTTGTGCAGATTGATTAGATGGACTAAAATAGGTATAGATATATTAACAGATTAAAATATTGTATATTTTTAGAAAATAAACAAGGCAGTAATAGAATAAACCTCCAAACAAACTTTAGAGACACTAAATTTTTAACTAAGGTCCACGTTTGTGGTGGAGCTATGAAATGTTATATTTTATTACTAAACAGGTAGGAAACTATGTAAAAGAATCTTCTGATGTCATAATTTCTGGGTGTCACTGGAACATTTGATCATCATTCCTTCGGCAATTCCAAGCTTCTATGGAAGGTCAGTAGAAGCAGTTGATTTATTCACCTCTACAGGAATCAGGCTCGGCCTATTTTGGTAAGTTTATGTATCCTTGACCAAGTTAGCTAAAACTTAATGTCTACATACGATAGTTATACTAAACCATAGTGTTTTACTAATTTGTCATTGAGTATAAACTTTTTCTTTATAGTATTTGACACCCAGTATATAAAAACCATAATATAATAACCAAATTTCTAAGCTTTATTAATTTAGTTTTTTTATTACCACAATAAACATTTACTTATTAGGTTTAAGAAACAGTTGTAAGACATTTTTCATTTTTCCTGTCTTTTGCTGAAGACATGCACATTTGTACAAGATAGAGTTGTTAATTACCTACTGTGTGCCAGGCAGTGGTGACAAAGACAGACATGAAATGGGATAAGGTTACAATGATTAAACAAAAACACTTACAAAATAGGGCACTGGTTCTCAACAGAAGGTAATATACCCCACCCCTTCATTCTCCACTAGAGGACACTTGGCAGTGTCTGGATGTTACAAGTTTTGGGGAGGGGTGCTGTTGGCATGCAGTGGGTGGAAGCCGTGGATGCTGCAAAATATCCTACAGTGCCCAGGACAGCCTCATCCCTATCCGACAAAGATTATCTGGCCTCAAAGTCAATAGTGTCACAGTTGAGATATCCTGAATTAGAGTGATGATAACTGTTCCAAAGCAGAGATAAAGAGTGCTATGGAAACTTATATTATGGAAGGCTCCTCTGAGGAAGTGAAATAAATTCAGACAATGAATGAGTTGACTCTTAACAAGTAAAGGGTGGAAACAGGGGGGTGAGAAAAAGTGCTAAGCAGAGGCAACAGTAGGCAATAAGGAGCTTATTTTAGATAGCTCTCTCTGTGAATATATGTATGTTTGTGTGTTTTACATGTATATTATACTAGTGGTCTGGTGCAGGAGGGTGGGGGGAGATGCGGCTCCCCCAGCCTGGCCTGTGCCCTATCACAGTGTGGGAGCCCTGAGATCCATCGCCCCAAAGAGGTAGGCCTTGCCTACCCTCCAGGGCTTCTGGATGGATTGCCCCAAAGAAGTAGGCTGGAGCCAGGGGTCCTGCGAGAAGCTGTGGGAACCCTGCGCCTTGTTGTGTGGAGTAGAGGGATTCCCAGGTCTCGCCACGTGGAGGCCTCTGCTGGGCCCCAGGCTTCCTGGTGATGGATTGTGATGGTGTGACACAAGTCCCTGATGCTGTAAGTCCCCGCCCACCCATGCCTGCTGCGCTTGCAGCCTGCTGCTGATTGGTTGTTACGCATGAGGGTGTCCCCACCATTTGCATATTACCCTTTTATTAATATAGATTATATATTATTAATTAACATATATATTTAATAATGCTCACAGCAAGTGCTTAATAATAAACATTTATCGAGCACTCAGTATGTGTTAGGTTCCGCACTTTTTATTTATTTATTTATTTATTTATTTATTTATTAATATATTTTATTGATTTTTTACAGAGAGGAAGGGAGAGAGATAGAGAGCTAGAAACGTCGATGAGAGAGAAACATCGACCAACTGCCTCTTGCACACCCCCTACTGGGGATGTGCCCACAACCAAGGTACATGCCTTTGACCGGAATCGAACCCGGGACCTTTCAGACCGCAGACCGATGCTCTACCACTGAGCCAAACCGGTTTCGGCGGGTTCTGCACTTTACATGCATTATCTTATTTGATCCTTACTACTATCCTGGAAGTAGATTCTATTATTATTCTCAATTTATCTTTGGAAATAAATTGGAAATAAATTTTCCAAAGATAAATTGATTATTTTTTTATATACTTGATTAAATACTAGTACTCTGCCTAAGATCACATAGTCAATCCAACTCTCCCAAGGACACTTTCTTAACTAATGCACTATAAATGTAGAGGCAGGGTACTTGGGAATGAATGATAACGAGGATCAGAAGGGTTAGCTGAAAATACTATGGTGATATGAAACTCAGATGTCCTTCAAAGGAAGATAAGAGCTTACACTGGCAGAGAGATGTGGGAGATATGAGTAGGTAGAGGCTCAAGCTTATTGATCACAATACCATAAATGCAAACGGAATAGTTTTTCACACAGCCGAAATGGACTTCAGTTATGTTAATCATAGGACCAGTTTACTTTTATTGTTCAATGTCTCTTCTGTATTGTTGCAAGACTTACTGTTTTAGTAGGGAATTGTTATATAATATAGTTTTTTATACACCTTTATAGATATTTTAAAAAGTCATTTTTAGAATACTGGAATATGCCTATAGCAAATTAGTAACATTAAAAATCCCAAACAACTATTTGAGCACAATTCACCCCCCATCCATTATTATAACTTTCTAATCTAGGTTTTCAGTGAATTATGCCTTTTCGGATTGGGACCCAGCCACGGAGGTTTCCAGTGGAAGGAGGAGATTCTACTATTGGGCTGGAACCTGGACTGAGCTCCAGTGCTGCCTATAACGGGAAAGAGATATCACCAGCAAGGTAAAGTCTTCTTATCCTGACAACCGAGAAAAAGTATAATGGCTGTCATCAGTACAAGCTTCAGCTGATGTTCAATATTAGAAAAAAAAAAAAAAGCCCTACAAAATATATTTTTAAAAATATAATATAGGATGTCCTATAAGGGTTCTTTTAAATCTGAGAGGAAGGGAGAGAGATAGTTAGAAACATCGATCAGCTGCCTCCTGCACACCCCCTACTGGGGTTATGCCCGTTACCAAGGTACATGCCCTTGACCGGAATCGAACCTGGAACTTTTCAGTCTGCAGGCCGACGCTCTATCCACCGAGCCAAACCAGTTTCGGCCCGAGATCCTATTAACATTTAAATGGTATATGGAATAATATGTTCAGTTTTGTATTTTTCCACAAATATTCTAGTTTTTAAGTAGACTCAACTGAAGTGACTTTAAGGTGCATATACATATGAATTGTCTTAGTATTATCACTTGGGTTTAACAACTATGCACCCCTGTCTTTTTTATCTTTTAGCAGTCATGGAATATCTTTCCAATTGAACACTTTGAGGATCATGTTTGTATTTATGAATTTCTTATGATTAAATGTATGGCAATACCTATAACTCCTTTGTAACATTTGTTATAATTACTTTGTGACATTCAAATAGGTCAGAAGTATTTAAAGCAGTTGAAGATGCGCTCACCCTGGTGCTCTGAAAAGTTTCCTTTGTGGTATCTAACTACATGTCACTTGCTCTTTTACTCAGGCAACTGCGAAGATGCCATGGAAGTCATTGCCTGACAATAACCGATGTCCCCATCAATGTCTATGCAACAATGCGAAAGCTACCTGCACAAAGCAGCAAGGACATGCATCCCAAATAACATCATTGAGTCTTTTGTAGAGGCTGACTAACTAGGTCCAGGGTCATGTAGCAGTGGGGGTCTTATAATCTGGTAAACAAATAAAAGTTGTGGCACCTTTGGATGATGACAAAAGTTGAAATATTTATTTTTAGTAGGAAGAGACAGAAATGTAGTCTGTAAAGCATGTGTAGTAATAAGCCATCAGTTATTTATGATAGATAAGACAAAATAGTATTTCTCCATTAGAAAGTACCTTAGAGATTATCTTGCTCAGAGTGGATCCTTAATAATAATTCAGGATGTTTATTCAGTCAGGAAGGACCCATTCTAAATGCTTACTATGCTATAGGCCTGTTTCCTTTGTTTATACTTGAGTTGTAATTTAGCTGAACCTTTTCACCTGCATACCCTAAGCCAGTTTCTGACTTGATATATTTTGGTAACACTCTGTCCAGGAATAATTATATGAGGTGATAAATGGAACTCAGTGGATTGTGTATTTTGTAAGAATATCCAAAATTAAAGAAAGTTCTTAGTTATGGTTAATCTACAAAGCATATAAAATGCTTGCATATAGGAGCTCAGGTTATTGATTAAGTTTACTATAATAATGTGAAGGCTATGGTTCTAACTCAATATTTTTTTTTAAGAAAAATAATAGGCTGTCATCACATTGTATCTCAAGTCCCAGCCAGTCATCTTGAAATTGTCTACAATTGGTATTGAGAAACTTAAGATGGATATTTTTATGTGATTTGATTTAAGGATCAGTTTTGAGGTCTAGGCCAGCTCTCCATGTTTTCTTTTTCTTCTTGCAATAATCCCAAGAAACCTATCTTGATTTCCTTTCCTCTTGATGTTTGCCTCCATCCATCCCATAAAATTATCTTCTATAAAAGACTGACTTTAGCATCAGGTAATTTCTCTAGTTTCTTGCCTATCATGCTGCTCCTGAAGATACACATATAAGCCTTTCAAAATGAAAAGGCTTGCTAGTTTATAGTTGCACAGATGTAGATGCATGTGTACTACATGAGGTAAATAAAAAAAAAAAACTGCCAGGGTATGTATAAACTAGAAAAGTTCACACAATGCTGGGAGGTATTTGAATTCCAATCAACCAGAGTGGAAAAACCTTGCTAAATACGTTGGGTTTTGAATAGAGAAACCTCAGAAGAGTCATGCCTTAGAAGGAGGTCTAAATGCATATACACTTTAACAAAGATTAAAAACTAAATTTGAGACTCAAGGTGATCCCTAAGTTACTTAATTACCTGCCAAATAAAAATTTATTACTCCTTAAAGGAAGAGAACAAAATCCAGAAAAAAAGTTGCCAAGGCTAAGGAAAGAATAACAGGATAGGAGAAAGGAGTGATGAAAAATTTCTCAGAGTGGGAAAATTTTCTCATTATTAAGGCTGGGAATAATTTATATTTAATCCATAGTGGAAAACTATTTTTTAAAAATATATATTTTATTGATTTTTTTTACAGAGAGGAAAAGAATAGGATAGAGTTAGAAACATCAGTGAGAGAGAATCATTGATCAGCTGCCTCTTGCACACCCCCTACTGGGGATATGCCCACAACGAAGGTACATGTTGACTGGAATCGAACCTGGGACCTTTCAGTCAGTAGGCCGATGCTCTATCCACTGAGCCAAACTGGTTTCGGCTGGAAAGTCTTTTAATACAGGAACATTGTATGGAGTTCTCAGCAATATATTATTTTAATGGGGGTGGCTGTGAGGTTGGGGGATAGGAATAGCTTGAGATTGAAGGCAGCTCTGGACCTGTGCTAACAAGCAATAAGAACAAAACTTGAAAGAATCAAACTATTTCCAAGTAACTGAATTGTATTCAAGGAAGGGAAAAACATACCCTCAAAATATAAAGAACTATAATAAAATCCAGCTCCAGAAAAAGAAAATTCACAATGATCAGCATCCAATAAAAAATTACCATGTATGGAAAAAAGGACTAGACAATATTAAGTCTAGAGAATTTGTCAATAGAAGCAGATTCAGAATGACGGATGATAGTATTAATTGACAATCTACCACAAATATTTCAGTAGTAGATAAAAGCATAATTATGATGAACAAAGGGGTCTCAGATTGCGAGAGGGTGCAGGCCAGGCTGAGAAACTCCCCCCTCCCCATGCACGAATTTTGTGCACCGAGCCTCTAGCCTGTATATATATATATATATATATATATATATATATATATATAAAAGCCTAGTGACCCAACAGTGAAACCTACCAGAATGACCAGTTGACTAGTTGCTGTGCTATGCACTGACCACCAGGGGCAGACACTCAGTGCATACCCACAGTGGGAGCAACTCCTCAGAGGGCAGGTCCACAATCGCTTGGCTGACTGGGATGAGAGGTGCTCCCACATTGGGCTGATCCCCAAGGCCACACCCCCAACAAGTGCACGAATCCATGGACTGGGCCTCTAGTTCTTCAGATTGTCATCGACTGTCTTATGACATGATCATTTGAAAACGTTCTGTTGAGGTGGCTGATTTAGCTTACTGTAAACTCACTATTTCTGGTGGGGCTGGTGAGGGACTCAATGCTGAGCAGTCACCATCACTAAACTTTAGTTATTTCTTGAGGGAATCAACTGTTGCTTCTGACTGATAGTGTCATGCTACATTCCTCTGGTACATGTGCCTCTCTGACCCATGCTTTGGCAGATCATAGCTGGCTTTTATCTCTAAACCTCAGATAGCCTCTGCCCACCAATCCCTGCCCCCTGATAGAGTCATCTGGGAATGAAGTTTATGAACTTAAGTGGCTTTATCCATGGTAGCCAAACTTCTTTCTTACTTTTTGGGACATCTTAGGATTTCACAGGTTACCAAAGTCTTGAGGGAATGCTTCTGTATTGATGATGGGCTGTACCATTCCCCCCGCTCTGAAATCTCTGGGGCTTGGGGAAACCCAACTGGAGAAGTCAATTTTAGTTTTTCTTTTCTTCAGACTCTGAGGCATTTTACAAGTGATTGCCTTGGGAGGTGAGGTGAAGGGCTAATTTTAATGAAAACTCTGCTTTCCTGAAATTCACTCAACAAATATTTATTGAGCATATACTTCACCATTCTAGGCTCTTATAACACATCAGTGCATAACCTAAACATTTTTGTAGCTTACATTCTGGACAGTTCCTCCTTCTGGTGCATTTCTATTCTCTTTTAGTGTGTGTGTGTGTGTGTGTGTGTGTGTGTGTGTGTGTGGTCATGTAATCAATGTAATCATTATGTTACATTGCTGATTGTATTGATATGTATCTAAGACAAAAGGGTAGCAGGAAATTTTAAGTATACATATATAACATTTAAAGATAAAAGTTTATTTTATTCCCTTAGTAATTCTTCAAAATATTTTATTCCCCCTTTCCCCAATTATTCTATGCCCCATATATTTAATCCTGTTGATATGAGGGCCTATTTTTGTTTTCAAGTTTGATTACCTTTTCATGTACAATTCTTTTATTTCATTTTCTGTATTTTAATATTTCATCCATTATTCAAGCCTATTTTTCTAGACTTTATTAATATACACACACACATATATATATAAAATCTTATAAAATTTTAGAGAAGACTAGTTGTGCTAAATATATGTGAGGGTAAAAAGCTTTTAATAAAGTGACTTCTATAATTTTAAATTGAATTCATTATTTTTTCCTAGTCTCTCTGCTGTCACACCCTCCAGGATTCCTATAGAACACCATAATAATATCCCACAGGAGGCTCCCCTGGTGTACATTTTTATTTTTATTTTAATTTTAAATAAGGGAGAAACGTATTTTGTTTAATTCATTTTTTCTTCTCTAGAAAAATTAAAGAATAATGTTTCTAGTAATTTTTTAGAAATTTATTAAAGCTTGATAACTGCTACAAACCTAAAATATTCTTGTTATACTGATAGACCAAACAGAAGTGCTAAAAGCAAATCTGTCATCTGTTTTTAGATGTTATGTAAATCAGTAAATCTTTCTAGGATATGAAAAACATACCAAAGATATTTCAGTGTAGATTGAACATTATCTTCCTTGAAAGAAAGATGAATCTGAGGATCTAGCCACACTTAAAAAATGTGTGCCAGTGTTTATTTAGAATTCCTTCCATTTTATTAGAAACAGGAACAGTAATTTCACGAGCAGGAAGTAATACAAGTAAGTTTAACACTTCTTTGATTGCAGACATTTTAGATCCAAAGTAAGAATCCAAATGAGAAATAATAAACACCCAGTCCCTGATGATTCCTTTAGGTCGTGGCTGACAGCTTCAGCAGGAGGAAGGGTTGCTGGTCCCCCGGCTGGCTTGGTGCTCCTCTCAGTGCTCTGAAGAACTTTGTACTCCGGCATCTCTGCTCTGCTGTGTCAGGCTGCTGGACAGGAGTTGATGCTCACGGCGCCGCTGACCAGGGCTGCTTTACTGAAGCTCACGGGGCGCCCGTCAATCATAAAGTGACGGATGCAGCCTGTGAAGGGTCTGCCAGGCGCCAAGTGTGGCGTCAGTAGAGACTCTGAAGAAAGAAAGCAATCAGAAATGGCAATTGAGGCATTCCAAGCCAGATATTACAGTAAAAATTGCTCACATCAGGATGATTTACATGTCAAAAATGAGATGCAGTTATTTTCCAGTATTCTCAGGAACATAGTCTGCTTTTGAAGTAATATGAACATACGGTAATTATAAAGTTTTGCCATGTTTTTCACAATCAAATTTCTAAGTATGTTTCAGCCATTTTCCAAGACAGAATTTGCCAGTTACATGCAAAGCATCAGCAGTGAATTTTCAGGACCTACCTGTAGTTTTTAGAGTTAATTTTACCCGAGCCTCACTTATTTTGTGTGTTTTGCTGAGAAGGGGAAAGAATTTTTAGTTTCCACACTATTTTTGGACTTGGTTAATGTTTCTATTTAATTGGTATCATTATTGTTCACCCTTAAGCCTCCACACTTTTGCCAAGCTCATAAAACATAATGAGAAAATAATGAA